AGGCGTGAACCGGGGGGAGCGGCTAGCATCGCTCCCGCGGGTTCCCAGCACTGCGGGCGTCCCGTGCGTTTCCTTACCAGCTGCAGGGTAGCTGTCGATGTTACTTAAAGCTTTAGACGTGCTGTCTTTATTGGTCGTAATAAAAACTAGTTAGAATATGGAGAGCCCACACTGAACATGTTTTTCTGAAGGAGCCACTGACATGTGAGAACATAGGTTGAGACTCTTGTACAGTATCTCCAAAAGTTGGCTCTGCAAGTTATTTTTCTCTTTAAGGTTGGTATCAAGCCATGTGTTCATGTTATTTTAGGAGCTTTCTCTGGTTGGAACTTGGTCTTTATGATACAGAAGTTCATCATACATGACACACAAAACTGCTGTAGCTGAGACCAAGGAGTGAAGCTCCTACTTGGAGCACAGAACTCTAGCTACTTCAGCAGTTCTTTGGCTGTGTGTTGTATTAGTTCAGTCATTACCACGCTGTGTCCTACAGAACAGCATCTGGTCTAAGATCTCTGGCAAGGTTTGAAATACCTTACATAACATGCCCCATGGTTTCTTGAAAAATGCTTTCTCCACATCTGTAGCAATACTGCCTTTCAGCATAGCATGCCACTGGATCAGTAAAACTGTTTCCTGTGGTAGGAAGCTTGTACACAAGGGAGAACAGACTGTAACAGGACCTGCACCAGGATTAAGGGTGTATGCTGAGCATTGTTGCCAGACTTGCTTATTCAGGCTTCTTGCAGTTGTCCTCATACTTGTTAGTTATCATGCTCTGATACCTTCAGAAAAGACTTTGTGCAAATCTGTGATGGCTTTCAGTCACAGGGAGGGCAAGGGTTATTTCTGCACTTTTGCATAGTGTCTGGTCAGTGAGTGTGGTGCTGAGCCCGACGTAAATCACAGGGAACAGGACAGAAACAAAGAGCTCAGGATATCTGAGCTGTGTTGGTTACCTTGAAGAGTTAACCTGAGGAAAACTTTTTTTTTTCCCCCTGGATCTGCTTTACTCTCTCTGTGGTCAAGTAGCGGGGTTTGGTTTGGTTTTGGGTTTTTATGTAGTGAAAGACAGTTAACTTCAGGATTTTTTCTTTGATTCTTTAGCTCTGTCAACTTCCTTGGATATTGGGCTGAGTAACTGGAGCTTCCTATACGTCACTGTCTCCCTGTGAGTACCAACACCATCTTCCCTGGGAGCCCTCTGGTGGGGTTTAGAAAGTGCTTTGTCAGAATCAGTTTCTTGAATGGGTGTATGGCTCTGTGGGGTGGGCATGGAGGGTCTATGATAGCTTGCTGGTAGCAATGTAGAAGTGTGTGATCTGGTTCATAATAGTACTTTGCTGCGAAGGACTACATTGGAGGAGACTGACAGTGTATTTTGGTCCTTACAGCTACACGATGACCAAATCCTCTGCCATTCTCTTCATCCTGCTTTTTTCACTGCTGTTCAAGCTGGAGGAAGTGGTAAGGGTCCCACACAATGCTTTATGGAGGGAGAAGGTCAGGCGCAAGGAAATACAGTACGTGTACAAGAAACATATAAGTAGAGGAAGAATGCAATTATGTGGATGAATCTGAAAAAAAGGAGGTGTCTGTCTCTGTTCAGCTCCAGGAGTCTGTAGTGACTTTGTGTTTACTCTCATCCAGAGGGTGGCATTGCTGCTGGTGGTTCTGCTCATCGCTGGGGGGCTCTTCATGTTCACCTACAAGTCCACACAGTTCAACGCACAGGGGTTTGTGCTGGTGCTGTGTGCCTCTTTCCTTGGGGGTATTCGCTGGACTCTCACACAGATGCTTATGCAGAAGGCTGAACTGGGTATGTAGGATGTTAGGAAGTGGGTGATGGTGCTGGTAACGGGGAGGGGAATAAGGAGGTGGTAGGCCTTGCTGCAGAAACAAAACATCTTGTGTAAGGGACAGTGTTTGAAACCTGGGACAGGGGTTATCTGTTGATGAGTAATGAAGGTGGTTTGGTGTCTGCAGCAGCACAGGCGTGGGCGTTACAAATAAGGTGTATGTCTAGGAGTGGTACTAATAAAGGCTCTAGGAGCTATGTTATTCTCTGGCTTGTTGCTACCTGGTCTATTATTGCTTCTCCTCTTTCAGGGCTCCAGAACCCCATTGATATCATGTTTCACCTGCAGCCGCTCATGTTCCTGGGGCTCTTCCCACTCTTTGCAGTGTTTGAGGGTGCGTGAGTTAATTAGAGAAAGCAGGGATAGCTTTATAGAGTGGTTGGGGAAATTGCTTAGCAGTTTGTTGTTTGAGATGATTCATTTAGATAAATGAACAGCTCTGAACTTTACAAAGTAGTTAGAGACCTGGAATTATAAGGACCTAGATATACTTTATGCTGGCAGAACATTAAAGAGTGCATAGGAATACTAGCCTGCCACACTTGTGGAAGTAAGGGCTGTGAAGGACTGGCTCCACATCTTCCTGCTACTGGAATGTGAGTAGCCCACCCTCATCTTGTTGTTGAGGAGTCATGGGAGTTGGGAAAGGTACTCTGCTACTCACTGTCTTGTTCCTAGGCCTGCCTTTGTCCGTATCAGAGAAGCTCTTCCGTTTCCATGAAGCAGGCATGCTGTTCTCTCTGGTAGGGAAGCTGTTCTTGGGTGGAATTCTTGCCTTTGGTCTAGGCTTTTCTGAGTTCCTCTTGGTTTCCAGAACATCTAGCCTCACCCTTTCCGTTGCTGGTATTTTTAAGGTAAGGCATGGTTCCTGTGCTAATGCTAGAAGGCAAGTACCAAGTCATCTCTAATGGGCCTCATGTGGTGGGAACTTCCTTACAGCCTTCAAAATAATCTCCTGTTATTTTTGTTCTCCTTGCACAGGAGTTTGGTGCTTTGCCTTGCAGTCTCTGCAGTGAAGTCCCTTGATCCCTGTCAGCAAGGGGCAGAGACTAGTGGCTGTTCTATTAAAAAATGCCATTAAGGTCCAAAGTTTGGTGGGATCTGGGATAGACTAAAACACATGGGCCTCAAGCAATGGATGGTGGGGGTGGGAGAAGGGGTAAGAAGGGCATACTTTTGCATTAGACCTGGATATGAACAAACCACTGGTTTGAGCTATCTCTTTAACTTAGTTTGGCACACGCTTCTCTCCTTTGAGGAATCCAGCACACATACTTTTGAGCTGAATGGTGACATGAAATTTGTGTGATTGGGAAGTCACAGGCTTCCTGTGTAGCCAAGCTGTGCAGTCAGGGGACTTAAAATCCCACATCCCAGTTTAACAGGTCGTTCTGTTTCTAGATACTGTTTTTAGAACTATCTGCACATGGAGGAACGTGCTGATGGAAGTTAGCAGCCTGGCATCTTGATCTAGGCTTGAGCTGTAAAACGTCTCATGTGTATCTCCTCAGGTCCTGCCCTGCCGCTTGTCATGTTTTTTGTTTCCGCAGGAAATCTGCATTTTATTCCTCGCCACACGTTTGCTGGGAGACCACCTCAGTCTCTTGAACTGGCTGGGCTTTGCTGTCTGTCTGTCAGGAATCTCCCTTCATGTCATTCTCAAAGCCATGAATTCCAAAGGTGATTCTTTTTTAAACCCCTTTCTGTTTCTCTGTAGGCATTCTTGTAGCTTCACTAGGAGCTGCGTCTAGTTCCAGCTCCTTGCCAGCGCCAGGTTTGATGGGTACTCTGGCGAGTTTGTCACTAAATGGGCTGTCTGCATGCAGGTGAAAAAGCACTGAAGCTACACAAAGAGGCCAGCTCTGACCCTCACCTGGAGCTGCTGCTGCACCACACTGAACATGGCGAGGAGGAGGAGGAAGAGGATGTTGAAACCCCACAACAGCACTGACTGAACATGACGCACAAAGCCCCCTGCTCTGTTCTTACCAAACCTGCCTGACAGCTATCTAGGAGGAAGGTCCAAGAGCCTCTGTATGTGACCACCCAAAGGAGAGCCAGGGCCTGGTGAGAGAGTCCTACTGTTCTACTACAGTGTGGATCTGTGGATGCTGCACAAGAAACAGGCAGTATCCCTCTCACGGAGAGCGAACTTGGAAGACAAGCCCTGGTTCAGTGGAAGTAGAAACAGCATGGTGAGACTGGGAAATGCTATAGAAAGCTTATTAGGGAATCCTGAAGGCTGTATATTGAGTGTAGACCAGGAGCTGTAGAATGAATATGGACATGTCTGGACTGCAGGCTGAGTGGTTCAGGGATGATTTTAGTGCTGTTTAGACTTTGACTTCAAAAGAGAAGGTAGATACTTTCCTATGCTTTCTTTATGGTTCTGCTAAGTAGGAACTCTCATCTTGGTGGGAGCAGATGACTATATATAAATCCGTAGACTCGTCCCAGTGAGAAGGAGCCTTTGTGCCTGATGACCTCTGTGTTCTGTTTGTATAGTAAGGAGAGATTTAAATGCTGGTATTTGGGACCAATTGAACATAGCCAAATGATGTTGGTAGGAGGAAGGACAGGGATGCATGAGTCCTTCTGACCCTACAAGTCGAGGGGAGAGAGAACAGTATCACAGGAGATCTAGCTTGAGCAATAAGTTTGTCAGAAAGTATGTGGGTATTTGAGGGGGGGATTTTTTGGTTTTTTTAAATAAACTGTTTTTCTGATTCCCTTTTGTCTGCACATTATGCACCTATGCTTCATCAAACAGAGGTCATTTGTCTTCTGAACTCCCTTGTAGACCCACACTCACCTTGCTACTGCATGCCCTATTATTTTTGAGGCCTGGCACACAGAATACTTGTCCGTGAAGAGGATCCTTGATCTCTAGGACTAGGGGGATGACTAGGGGGATCTTCCTGCAATCTGTCATATTTGTGCCAGCCAAGAGAGCATACTGACTTGTCTGCCTTCATGCATGAACAAGACACTGTATCGTAAGGAGACGTTTAGTATTGTGGCTTTTTATAGGAATCTTATCTCTTTGCCCCATTGGATTGGATCAGTTAGTGCTGCAGACTTGTCCAGGAAAGGGGAATGGTGCAGGATTTAAGACATGTCTTTTTCCTTTCTGCTAAGCCAGAAGTGGTGTTGGGCAGGTGGCTGTTTTTTTGCGTGGCAGAATTTTCGCTTCTTTGAAAGTTTTGTTTGATGCTAGCTTTTGGAATTTTTGGAGTGGAAATAACTTGAGAGTGCTTCCCAAAGGGATAACAGTGCGATCTTTCTCCTGAGAGGAGCTGGATGTTAAAGTGAACTTCTCATACTCTGTTTGAGGACCTGAACCATTTTGACTAGACTGTCCCTCTGTTGGTCTTGCTTCATACTTTTCAGGTGTGAAGTCTTTCTTGATGACTTTAATCAAGAGCATGTCCTGCAAAAACTACTTCTGAAGAAGAAAACTTTTCTAATAATGAGAATCTTTAATGATGTTCTAATAGACACTGGTAACTTGCTTTGGAGCAGACAGCAGGTGGTGCAACTACCTCATATAAAGCTACTGGACCAGCAGTTACAGGCCAGGCTGGCACACTAAGGGATCTTCTGCATCAGCTAGGATGCCTGGAGCTGAGAATGGCTTGGTCTGTCCCTAGCTGGATTTTCCCATAGCTGGGACTTGTGATGCTTCCAGCAGGATTCACCCTCTTTACCTTACTGATAGATGTAAGCCCCAAGCACTAAATACTCTCTACTTCATGTGGGGCAGTGAAGCTTTCTGCACATGATTTGTGTTTAGCAATACTGCAGATGCTCTTTGCATTTCACTTTCCACTCTCCTAGAGCTGAACCTCGGGCATCTTTCTGCTGTGTAACTCGCAAACTGGCATTTCAGGTCCCTGTAAATCCAAGGTAAAGGCGACTTTGTTCACAGGCCAGGATTTGCACCACATAGGGTGCTTGAAGATGAAATTTGATTGTGCCAATGCAAGTGCTTGTGAACTGTAGAACCCTGTAGTCTGTTGCTTCCAGTCTCATTTCCTCTTTAAGATAAAGGAGATGCCCTAGAACTGCAGTCAGCATTTCTGATCTAGACATGACTTTCTGGCAACAAATATGATGATGTCATTCACTCCAATGAAGTATGCTCAGAACAGCTTTTGGGACAAGCAGTTAGTTCTGCACCCTTGTCTGGAAAGTTGCCAGATGCTTCCTTCCAGTGAGGCTAGGTAGGTGTCTGTTTCCTTGTTCAATAAGGTTTTGTTCTTTTCGGAGATAAAGATAAGAGAAACCTGAAAATAAGAACATAAAGTGTCTACTGCTTCATGATTTTGCCACAGCATGTGGTACAGGTAGTCAGTCCAGTTTGCTTGTGAAACTAACTGGACATCATTCATCTATCTTGGAAAGAATCCTATTCTCGTTCCTTCTAGTATCCAGATGGGAATGGCAGAGGATGTCTGTCGTATTCCTGCCCGTGAATTTAAAAAGCCCTTATGCAGAGCTTGGTGGTAATTAATACTTAATTTCTACTTGACATTCAGTGCAGGAAGAAGTTTTCCCCTAGACTCATAAATCCACGTATGGATCCTGTGGTGCAGGGAGGTTCATGGTGGGGCATATTCTGCAGGTGCTTCTGTGACCAGCATGCAGCAAGGAGGCCCTAATCCAGGTCATGCTGAAGTACTTCTGCTACTTTTCTGGGTCTGCAGTACTAGAACGGAAAGGTTTTTCACTCAGTGGCGGGTTGAGACTTGCTGAAGGTGGTCCTGCAATGATTCCTGCCTGAGACTCTAGTCCACAAGGTCCTCTTCTTCTGGGAAAGCATTGCCGTTTTGCAGTCTGTGTGTGACTTTTTCCTGTGCAGTTCTCTCTGCAGGAACCTCGCTGGGGTAGCATTAACTGTGCTATGACTACTTGTGTGCAGAACAGGCAGGATCCATATTTCTGCCTCTCCTCGCTCCCTTCATCCCTCCAATACTTGACTTTCTATGTCCCAGCTTCTTTTAGGAGCAGTGCAGGAATGAAGTTGCTTCTCAACTCCCAGTAAGCACCCAGTAGCTCCTGTGGGGACCTCTTCTTTAAAATGTCATGTGTGGCAGGACTGCTGGCAGCAGCAGTGCTGTTACCAATCTGAAGGCTTTACCTGGGACTCTGCCTTTATCCCCAAAATTCAATCAGAAGGTCAGGACTAGAGCAGACCCAGTGTCAAACAAATCAAATGTTAATCAGACTGTGTGTAAATGTGTTTCTTTCTGAACAAGCACCTACTGTGTCCTGGACCCAAAAGATGACATGGCTGAACAGCTAGCTGAGTCCCCAGTATCTTACTCCTGCTGTAGTATGTGTAAAATGAAGATGCTACACCATCCCAGCAGATACCGATAGTCATGTTTAATACTTCTGTTCAGCATGGTAGATGTTTCTGCACAGGCTTATGGAACAGAGGTGAGAGGACTTGGGAACTCAAGGAGAGAGAATGCTCTTAAGGGTTTCCAAAAACTGCAGCAGTGCTTCCTGTCCTCTTGATTCCACCTTTTACTTTATCTTTTCATTCTACCCTGTGGGTAGAGCTTAAGAGCTTGCAGGGGCAGGGATGTTGGGTTGTTGCCTCTGCATTTAGAGTTGGGATTTTAAATTTATGATGGGCTTTAAAATAATTAAAATGTAAAAACTTTTTTTTTATTATCCCTGAGGATTGGTTTCTGCATTCTTTTCATAAAAAGAAAGGGGAGAGAACATACACTGACAATCTGATCTCCCTGTTCTAGATGATTTAAGGAAAAAAAAAATAGCAACTAGATCTGTGTATTTATGGATGTTTTAGCTTTTTGTGGGGTATGTTGGTCAATTAATGGTGTTGGCTACCAGGTTAATTGCTAGATGTAGGTGATGAGTTCAATAGCAGATGTTCAGGAAGAAGAATGTGGAAAGGATGGATAGTAGTCCACATCAAACATCTCATGATGAACTTCTCAGGCTGTAAGGAATAGCATATGAGGAACTAGCAGTGAAGAGCTGTTCCTGCGAAACTGGCCAAGATGTTGAACTTATAATCAGCAGATCCAAAGGATGTTTAGACTCTAAATAACTGTTCTTTTTGGAAAATCTCAGGACAGATATCCTGATGGGGAACCTGAAGAAGTTACACATTCCTGCATACCTGTGGGAGATTAACTTAATGTGTAAATGGCTTTTCTACTGCTTTGAAAGTCCCTTTTTCTCTTTTATGCTAGAACTACTCCTACCATTCAGATGAAACAGCACATTGATTTAATAACATTATTTGGGATAGCATGTTCCCTGCTGGCCAAAGCTCCAGAATGTTAGGATCACAAGGTCTAGATTCAGCCAGGCTTGCTAGAATAAGGTGGGAGGGGGCAGCTGTTTCACCTTCAGGACTCATTTGAGGCATGGAGAAATTTGCATGATAACTCATCAGAGAGAGAAGGCACAAGCCTCCAGGTGGGCATAATTGGAAAATGCAATTTCTTCTTGAGCCCTGATAGTTTTAAGGGTCTTCTAGTGCTAGGACTCTTCAAGTCACCTTGCATACGATTTTGTCACTGAATCTCTGTTCCTTTAGCCTTGAACAGCTAGATCAAGAACTGTATGACAAGCAGAGGCCCATCTGTGTACTAGCCTTGAGTCATGTCTCTGTGAGGTGAAGGCTCATGGGCCAGCCCCAGCATGCTACAAAGAGGTGAGAATAGACACTCTTCACCCTTCAGCACCTCATTCC